AGTTTTCAAACAAAAGCGTGCTAAATTTTAGCAGCAAGTTTGCACCTATGGGGTTTCATTGTGGCAAATGTACTGCGCGTACGTAGAATATTTTTATATCTCACACAACCATAACAATTTTAAATTTACTACTCTCCACATGTGCTATGATTAATTTAAGTTATTTGTGGAAAGTTTCGTTTTATTCTTAATTTTCAATCAAATATTTAGGTACAGTGACATCACACATGAGTAGACAAAATAGTTTGAAATTAAAGTACCGGATAAATTAATAACTATCCATTAATGGCATTCATTTTAGCAGCTGCTTGGTGTTTTGTGAATCAAATTCTCGCAGCGTTCATGTTATTCGAAAATGTAGTAATTCAAATTTTTCTCTTTATCATAAATCGCTAAAAGCTGCTTCGTTTGACATTCGTATATCTCAATTAGATTTTATTGAAGTTTATAATAAATAATATTACTACAGATTTAAGCTGAAGTCTTTAGGTACTTGGGTTATGAAAATTTTTAGTACACTTTACCAAAAATTACAAACAATTAGTTAACACACTTTTGTATAATGCATGCGAGATGTGTTGGGTAGTTCGGCGTATGAGTGAAATTTTTGTTGTATTTTTGGTTATATATTAATCACGCCACTTATTGTTAATAATTTGGTTTTATATATCAGAGAGCAAATAGCCGCAACAAAAGCCCTATAATAAAACAACAAACAAAAGGAGCGACTTCGGGGAAAAACATACTAAACTGGTAATCTACAACCAACGAAATGTTAAAACTCAAAACTCGAATAGATGTGCAGAAGCTCTGAGGTCGAATGCTAATTTCCAGTTTATCCGACTCGAAATGTCTCAGTAAAGTTAAAAAAAAAAAACGTCGTGTGTGACGATATGAGCACACACACACATTTACGCAATCACAATTTTGTATGGCTGGACTGCATTTTAAGCTGATAATTGTTTATATGGATTTTATAGACAATGTACACGGCGTTGGGATGAGTTTTATGTTTCTCGCCGATCTCTATGAGATGTGTTACTCTCGATATTAACTTGTAGTTTAGTTGATGTTCAGTGGTGTTTGAGTGCGGACGTTTAATTACTGACTAAAAAGTAGCTATTTTCGAAGTGAATTTAAGAATAAAACCGCGATTACACACACACACACACACAATGAGTTGGCGCTTTAGCTGCGTAAGTATAAACATTTGAACGAAGGACTTCCGCGCCGAACACTTTTTAAACGCTCAACTTACTGTTTTTTATTTTCTTATTTTGCACAAGCTTCTGGTGGCCACATTGGCGATGATAGCAGAAATGCATGCGAAGCCACTAATTGCAGATCCGTAAGTGGTTTACTGATATTGCTTATTTTTGTATTTCACAACTTCAACTTTTTGGCATTTCGCTTCGCAGCACTTTTTCTGATATTGACCTTGTGGCCGAAGACTCGCAGCGCGCTGAAGTTTATGCAGCTGCGCCAGCGCGCATAAAACGCGCGCCACAATTTTGGGGTAATGACTACAATGGGGATAGTGGCAGCAGCGGTGGTGGTGGTTTTGGTGACCCGAACAAATTTGAAATAAATAACAGTCCCGCTTATAACAAGAACGCTTATTCAACTCAACAAACCAGCACCAGCAGCACCAACACTTGCCACTGCAGTTTCTAATAATGCACAAACATATGATTCGTACTCACCACAGGCTTCCTATATTAACCAACCCTCACATAACTCACCTCAAAAATATCAACAAGAAACATCGCCACCACAACCTCCACCACCACCGCCGCCACAAACCACATCGTTCGATTACTATGATTATTACACAAGTGATTTCTCATCAGATTTCCACAACTATCCGCCACCACCGGGGCGTGGACCTGGTTTTCACGGTCACCATGCTTTTGGCTACCCACCAGGTCCGCCATTCGGAGGTAAGGCGCATCGTTGTACTACTTATTGAAATGAGCTACGTAATAAATATATTTATTACCGTTAATATTCTTATTTCCTAGGTCCGCCCGGCTTCAATAGAGGACCGCCGCATTTTGGTTAGTTTTCCGCTCTACACGTTTTCTACCTCAAATATATAAAAGCAAGCATTAATGCATACTGAATTTTTACTACAGGACCACCAGGTTATGGACCACCAGGTTATGGACCACCAGGTCATGGACCACCAGGCTATGGACCACCTGGTCATGGACCACCTGGTCATGGACCACCTGGTCATGGACCACCAGGTTTTGGAGGTAGAAACTGTTATAAATTCACAGCCACAGTCACTTATCTCATTTTTCTTTGTTTCTTCAGGACCACCAGGCTTTGACCGCGGTCCACCGCCACCTCCGTCGCCATATCCGCCGCAATATCCGCCACCACCACCGCCGCCACCTCCGCCGCCTTCGCTAGTTAGTACCACTTCTGCTCCTGCTATTCAACCGACAACTGATTCTCCACCATCAACAAATGCACCTTTGCCTACCGAACAAACATTTTCTCCAATACCCAGCACTACACCAGCACCGCTGGTGGTGACAGTTACACCAACAACCTCTTCCACAACAACCGAACCAGTCTTTGATATTGACGTTAGATTTGGAGATTAATTAGTGCCATTACAGATAGGAAGAAGAGAAATCAATTATAGAGTTCGTGCGCTACGATATTTTGCCGAAACTTGCCATTCGGGCTTTGAAATCAAATTGGTGTTAATAAAGTAGAAACGAAAGACTTCAGCAACGAACTTGACATAATTTTTGTATTGTAGAATTTTGGAATTGTTCTAAAAAAATACATTCTAGCCAACATAAAACACTGCAATGTACAAACAATTCTCACATTTTATAGCCTAAAGATATTTGAATTTTATTTATTTATTCTAAAATTAGAAGAACATATTAAATTAAACCAGCCTAATTGCAAGAGTTTATTTGAATCGTTTATAAGCTGGCTAATTGGCTGTCAATCAGCAACTCTTTCCCATGAGTCTCCTACCTATCCTTACTTAATGAAAACCGCATAAAATTGTTTTTATACTTGAGCGCATTTGTGCACGTCTGTTGTTTGTAGCAGGCTAAAGAAAAGTCGAGAAATATATGTTTAGATATATAGTAAATATATGCAAAATACTCAGAATGAAAAGAGAAATCGTCCGCAAGTCGGTCTGTCGAGCACACATTAAGATATCTCAATAGAATATGTTATGTAGGTTACCTCGAAGCAAGTTAGAATTTAACGAAATTTTAATTGGGAAAAATGTTTTGGTGGAAAGTATACTACAAAAATACCTGATACCTGCCATCCCAGCAATTTTTAAATCAGTATCGTGGATCCCAATATCTTCCACGCATCTCTAATTCGAATGGCAGGGCTGTTGGAAGATATTCTAATACAGTTTCCAAAAAGAAGCTCTTACTGAAAAAGTTCTGCCTGAAATCGTTCATTTAAAAGCACTCTTTCAAATACATATGTATGCATGTTTTTATTTCTATATAAATTCTTAATGATACAGGCAGTCGTTGACAACTTGACGAAAGTTTATTGCAAGTTTTGAATAAGAAATGCTGCTGAAATACAAAATATATATTGCAACTTCCGTTCAAATACCTGCGATGGTAAAAAATATTGGTATTTATGCAGGTATGTATATGCGTATAACTATTTATATACATATTTATATAAAAATATCGCGTATTTTTTGTTAAAACTTCGCTTAATAACAAATGACCGAAATTCAAACAAATTTGGACAGTACATTGCTTAGGCCCATGGCACTGACCTAGGCTATGTTTAAACCGGCTAGCTGGCGCATGGGTCGGTATTTTCCGAAAAACCGGATTTATGTAGATGCGATTTTAATGAAACTAGAAACTTATACTGGGGGTACGACTGGATATACTCTTACGAAAACTAAATCCATTTGGTGGCGCCAAGAGTTAAGATATACGAAATTCGTAAGATCTGTATTTAACGTCGAGGTTCCATATTTATAGTTCGAGTTAGTTCAAACCTTGGCGGCCGTTGTGGTGTAAGTGGTTAGTAGCGCGCGCTAGCTTTCCGCAGGGCCGGGGTTTGAGCCCAGTCTCCGCCCAACATCAAAAAATAAAAAAAAAAACAAGAAATAATTTTTCTAATTGCGGTTACTCCTCGTCAGGCAATGGAAAAACTCCTAGTGCATTTCTGCTTTGAAAGTTCTCATAAAACTCTAATCACCGTTCGAGTCGGCTTATAATTGTTGGTCCCTTCCCTTTGTGTGACAACATCAAGGCACCCGCCACCAAACGGAGAAGAAGCTCGTAGCGCCAATCTATTAAGCTTTCAGCAGTTAAAATGTTTGTTATCTATCGGCTTTTTGAGTCGTGGATATCAGCTAGCTTTTCCATACAAATTAATCACAAAAATTGCCAATAGCTCGATACCATTCTTTATTATAAATTTGTAAGTGGAAAAATGTTTGTCAAACCCTTTTTTTTAGTATATTACCACGTATTTTTTTGTTAATGAAGCTCTTTTTTGTTTACTAACCTTGTATTGTTGATTGACAAAGAATTCATTGCAGTAGCCTGTATCAAACCTGGTTTGTATCATCTACATATGTACTATAGTACTAACGCGTGTATATGTATGTATGTATGTATGTATGCATATTAAAATTGTAAGAGGAAAGTAATATCTAAATTTGATTATTATGTTCCATTTGAGTACGAATAACTTGATAAAAACATTAAATACTCAAACAGAAATTTGTTATCAGAAACAAGTTTTGGAATTTTTATCTGCAATATTTGCAAAAAAAAAACATAAAAATAAAGAACAACATTTGTTAATTTAAAATTTTAGTGATGAGATGAAGCAGAATTCTCCTGCGACAATACAAACATTTGCATTCAAACAGAGTAGAATAATTCGTTATTAATAATTTTTTAGAATATTTACAGCCGGTTTCGCTAGCAATTTTCACTTAAATTACTTTCGTAGAATCGGTTGTTAGAATATGATTATAAAATTTTTTTATTTGATGAAAGTACTGCTACAGCTATCGATGTTGTTAGGGGTATGGTTACAGTTATTTTTGCCTTATCTATTGTTGTCGTTAACACTATCGATATGTTATCGTTATCGATATTGTAATTGTTATCTAATTGTAAGTGCGGCATTTTCTACACACATACATACATAAATATACATACACATATACATATGAGATATGATTTACTCAGCATACAAATGGTTGTAATAATTTTTAAGGCCCACCTTAACCGCTAAAAAATGTCCATAAATATGAACTTTCACGATAACCAAAATCTTACATAGTAAATCTGCACAAAGGCGTAAGATGAAGCACCTGTCCACCAACCCATTAAGAGCAATGAACTGTTAGTCCAGCATTTCCAGCGTAGAATGCCATTCACTCCGAAATTATTCATTTGGCCATTCACGACCCTTGCAGCGTAATGCAATCTCGGCTTGTTATTAAGTCTTAAGCTTAAATATTTATTGTTCTAGAAAGAACTCGATTCTCATGTCCGTTGCAGCGTAAAACCGCTATTTTTAATGTAAACAACACAAATCACTCCAATACTTGTCTTTAGTGCGGAAAGGGAGAAGCGAAGAGAGATGTATGTATGTTTGACCGGCAGAGTTAACTAACTGAAGCAACGTTTGTCGCACCCACA